GTTCCCCCAGGACAATTTCGGGGTCCCCCGGAGGATTTCGGGGAGCCCCGCGGGCGGTGCCCACCTTGCCGTCCTGGCTCTCGTGGAAGCTGTCCACCCTGGCCGCCAGCGTGCACTTGGCCGCCACGAGCCGCGCCGCCTTCCTCCTCAGGTCCTGCAGGCATCCCCCACGTCAGCGCCTGCCGGGGGCGTTTTTGGGGGAATTTTGGGGGATTTTGGGGCGGTTTGGGGGGTTTGGGGCCCACGCACCGGCGGCAGGGACTGCACGATGTCGCTGTGGTAGATGAAGCCGGTGTGGGGCAGCACCGAGGTGGAGGAGAAGCCCGAGAGCGTGCGGCGCTGCGCGCCCAGCAGCAGGATGTTACAGGCGGGCAGCTTGGACAGCGGGGTCAGGCCTCCTGCCACACCTGAAACACCCAAAATAATCCTAAAATAACCCAAAAACCATCTAAAATATACCCCAAAACCACAGCGGGGTCAGGGCTGCAGCCACGGCCAGCAGCAGGATGTTACAGGCGGGCAGCTTGGACAGCGGGGTCAGGCCTCCTGCCACGCCTGAAATGGACAAAAATAATCCCAAAATAACCCTAAAATAATCCTGAAATAGCCCTGAGACAGCCCAGAAACAGCCCTGAAACCCAGCGGGGTCAGGGCTCTGACCACGCCCAGCAGCAGGATGTTACAGGCGGGCAGCTTGGACAGCGGGGTCAGGCCTCCTGCCACACCTAAAACACCCAAAAATAATCCCAAAATAATCCTAAAATAATCCTGAAATAGCCCTGAGACACCCCAAAAATAACCCTTAAAATACCCCAAAAATAACCCTAAAAATACCCTAAAAATGCCCCCAAAATCGCCCTAAAAATAGCCCAAAACAGCCATAAAAATACCCTAAAAACCCAATAAAAATACCCCTAAAATACCCTAAAATAACCCTAAAAGTACCCAAAAATAACCCCAAAAATACCCCCAAAATAACCCTAAAAGTACCCAAAAATAACCCCAAAAATACCCCCAAAATAACCCTAAAAATACCCCAAAATAGCCCTAAAAATACCCCAAAATAACCGTAAAATACCCCAAAAATTACCCTAAAAATACCTGAAAATAGCCCTGAGACACCCCAAAAATAACCCTGAGATACCCCAAAAATAACCAAAAAATAACCCTAAAAATACCTGAAAATAACCCTGAGACACCCCAAAAATACCCCTAAAAACACCCCTAAAATACCCAAAAATAACCCCGAGACACCTCAAAAATAACCCTAAAAACACCCCAAAAATAACCCAAAAAATACTCAAAACCACCCCAAAAATAACCCTGAGACACCCCAAAAA